CTGGTTAAGCAAGGACTATATAGCAATAGCAGTTAGACTTATATACCGCTTCATAGGGCTTTCAGCTCTCTCTAAGCGGTTTACAGAGTCAGCATATTGCCCCCAACAACAATCCAAGTCCTCATTTCGCCCACCTCGGAAGGATGGAATGCTGAGTCAGCCCTGAGCCGGTGAGATTTGAACCGCCGAACTGCAGAACTGCAGTCAGCTGAAGTAGCCTGCAGTGCTGTATTTAATCACTGCGCCACCTCGGCTCTATATTTCTCATTCTATCTCTGTAAACCCATATGACAAAATGATAATATGTATTTCTGATCTTGCCATATCCAGCTTCTGCAGCATATCTCAGAAGTAGATACCTTGTCACTTTTTGTGCTTAAAAATTAACAGGACACAGTCCCGAGTTCAAATTATATGAATACTAATGCATTCAGAAAAGAATAGATGCAAAGAATCGGCTCACTATAGACACATAATGTATATAGCAAGAAAATAATGATTTGGGAAATGGGAAATCATTTGGGAAAAAATGTTCAACTCCCAGGCCCCAGACGCAAAAATGCAGGGTTTTCTAGTTTCTTCATTGCTTTTATATGAACATATCTTTTCTGAAAGGATGTGGAAAAAAAAAAGTTTAGTGGAAACCAACCAGACAGTGCCATTTATTATGATTTATTGCTGCTATACAGAAATGGATAATATTGTTACATTTAAAACAGCAGCAGCACACATCCTGTCAAAGTTAATACATGAAAAGGTCTTAAGAAATATATTTAGTGCTGGATGAATTTCCAAAACGGAAAAAAAAATGCACCTGTACAATGAGGCAATCAGTCCTCAACTGAGCTGAAGCAGGATGAATGTTGTGGGGAATGAAGTATGTTTAGTTTTGTGGATCTGTTGAAAATGCAGAAGAATCCACCCTACATAAAATGTGTAAGCTGCGAAAAAACACTTCCTCTGAGGACAGAGAATTAGGCAGCTGAAGGGCTATGACTGTTTATTTCCTGGGGATGAGGAAAGCGCCACATTGGAGCTATATATGAGGGTGCAAAAAAGAACTCCCAAATGGCCATTGTTAGTTCTCAGCTCTGTAACAATCAGCAGTGGCTAGCGGAGCATGTACCAAACAATTGCCTCTTGGTAATTTAATGTAGCCCAAAAGAAGGATGGCAAAAGATACATTAATTGATCATCTGCTACTTGAATTACTCCACACTTCATTTTTAAAAAGCCACCCAATGCCCAATAAGATGATGATCCTTATCAACAAAGAGAAAGCTTAGATGTGTGTTCTGGCCCAGCAGGAGATGTTGGAGCTGCCACCAGACTCCAACAGCGAGGGGCCCTATGAGTCGGCCCTGGAGGATGTGGAGGACCCTGAAGGTAGTATAGTCCACCAGGTAAGAACCATG